TTTAAATGCCAGTGAGGTTAAACTGAAGTGCAGTGATCTTCAGGTTGGAATGAGGTTCGTAATGCTCAAGTTATGCCTTTTGTCTTAATATGGCTCTTCATGCAATTGAATTATTTTCCTGGCTGAAAAAAACCTTAATTAATACAGGATTAGTTAATTCAATGTGTTTCCATTGTTATCAGCTGTAAGTACAAGCACGTGAGGATTAAAAGAGAAATTTGAAAGGGCACAACCTTTTTTTGTCCTGCTTCAGCCTTGCCTCTCCCACCAAACTGATGCATAGGAATTTCTTTTTTCCTCTGCACAGGAAGTATATTTTTGGTGATATATAATGTTAAATTCAGGGATACTTAGACCATGGTTCTGTTAGATCATTTTAAGGACTTTCTCTTTTTGTCTGTTTCCTGAGTTTTTTTTAATTTTTGTTCTTTGATGGTCTTGAACTTCTTGATCCTGCAGAGAAAGGCGTAAAAGGAAGAGCAGAAGTCCCTCTAGGTCTCCTAAAACATCAAAAACAGCAAAGAGAAAGTCTTCACGAACTCCTTCTCCAAGAAGGTCAGTTTGATGTAAACATAAAAGTCAATGACCAGTGAAGAAGGAAGGATGTACAGTATTTTCATTTTTTACTGCCTTTACACTAGTTATCTCAAAAGGCATAGAATCATCAAGGTTGGAACAGGCCTTTAAGATCAGCAAGTCCAACCATTAACATATCACTCTGCTGTAACCCCTAAACCATATCTTCCAGCACCAGGTCTCAGATGATTTCAGCTGGTCAGTATGATTCAGTTCTAATTTAAAACCAAACCAAAACCTTGACAGATTTGAGCTTTGGAATGCTTTCAGAGAGAGTCTCTCAAAGCAATCAGCAATGCAAATTTGCATCAAATCAGTAAAAACCCTTCATCTGATACATTTTAATTTGCTTTTATCTTTGCAAATACAGTGTGTGCTGACCATGTGCACTCTTAAGCTCTCTTCAGTCAGAAAAATCCCCTTGTCTTTCTGAAGGTTTTGAAGTTTTTTTGCTTATATTTTGGGGTTACTTTGAAAAGCCACAGCTGAGAGTTTAGTTAGCACTCAGATGGTCTGAAGTTTTGCAGTTGGATCAAATACTAATTTGACTAACCATTTTCTGAGACAGAAACAAGAAAGAGAAAAAAAGAGAAAGAGATACAAATAATGAAAGACGAGAAAGAGAACACTCCACCTCCAAGAAGAAAAGTAGTAAAGAGAAAGAGGGAAAAGAGAAATCTGACAAAAGCGCCACTGCTTTGAAGGTAAGCTTGTGTGACCAAGTGGTCAGCAGAGTGAAGTGGTGGCAGTGAAGCCATTACTGAAATTTCCTCCCTGCTTTTTCTTTCTTTGCCTCCTTCCTTCTTTTTTGCTTAAGCAAATTATTACCATTTGCATTTAGCTTTTGCTAGTTGTGGTTAGTGGGACAGTTTGGTAAGACTCCATGTTTGAACTTTGCTGGACTTGGAGGAGCTTTTGAGATTACAGACACTTTGTGTTGCTGCTCTTGCCTATTGTGTGCCATGTGCTAGGGCTTGTCTGTCTGCATATCTGTACCAGCAGGCAGGCTGTGTAACTAGGCAGCAATATTCAAGGGCTGCTGCACTGCAGAGCTGAAAACCTTACTTAAATAAATCTTCACTGTGCAGTGCAGCCTCTCCCTCCCTCGCTGCTTTGGTCATGATCTGTATATTGGATTCTGCAGGAGTAAAGTTGAAGAGCTAGGAAGGAGTGGAATGGGATTTTT